ATATAGTAACAAAACAACAACCTTCTAAATTGAATGACTGAAATATCTCAGATTCAATAATTCCAGTCTCCTCTTTTCTGCTCAGAAACACAAATTTCTTCTATAGAAGCTCTAGAATGAGACAGCTGCAGAATGAAACTGGCAAAGAATTTGACCTTAGCACATTGTCAAAGTAGGCCAAAACAGCAGGAACAATATAAAATTATTTCATCAAAATTTTCAGTGGGCTCCATTGTACAAAGGTGCGCCAGGTCTGCATTATTCCACCTAGCACTCAAAGTAGTACTATTCCCTTACAAACCTGCTATTAACACTGTACAACAAACCAAACGTTCTAAAATACAACAGCAAAGAATTAACACAAAGAAAACCTTTATTCTACAGCTAGTATTCATCCACTCAGGGGAATAACTGTATGTAAAGTCCTTATAACAGCATCATGACTAGACCTACTAACACATAGTTAAAGAATGCAGGTAAGGATATCAGTAAAATTAAGTGAAACAAGCAAGTTTTTAAGTTACCTATGTGCGTATTTTATCCAACCCTATTAGTGTTAGAGTATGGCACTTATGCCAGAGGAGACTTATTAGGGGTGACCTGGAGTCACAAGGCCCCATGAGAATGACTGGAAAAATTATACTCTCAGGCAGGCACAATCTCTCCCAAACCTATTCCATGGGCATAAGGGAATGTGCACATCTCCTCCACCCATTATGATGTATGGCTTGGTGATGGTGGTTGGGAAATAGTTCTTTGGCCTGATGGCCCCATTTCCTGATTATATCCATCAGAGAGCGCATGGCTGGCTACCACAGCACTCACGTGACCACCATGAAGAGACTCCTCCATGCTTAAGCTATGTGCGGAGTTCGGCAGCACAGAAACCAACTGGGCTCATAGCTGCGTTTGAGTTCCACGCTGCACGTATGCCAAGGCCAGGATTTAGAACAACTGATTTTAAAATGTCTTTGAAATAACTTCTAAAATGAAATTATTAAAAATGTTATGAGCTAAGTTTATGGAGATGCAATGTGTTAAATCTAGGAATATTCTTTAAAGCACTGGCACTACATACAAAGAAATAAGCCAATTCTGAAAACCCTTACTCATGTACGTAGTCCCAACGGCCGCAAATGGAAGTACACCTCTACCCCGATATAAAGCGACCCAATATAACATGAATTCGGATATAACACGGTAAAGCAGTGCTCTGGGGGGGGGGGGCGGGGCTGCGCATTCTGGTGGATCAAAGCAAGTTCGATATAATGCAGTTTCACCTATAACGCGGTAAGATTTTTTGGCTCCCGAGGACAGCGTTATATCAGGGTAGAGGTGTACTCAGAATAGTAGATAGCTAATGTGAGTAAAGGTGGCAGGATCTGGCCCAGAAAACTAAATACTTTCACATATGATATCAGAATAACCTAAAAGCTTCAAAAATTATTTGTTTTCAAAGAAAGCTTACATCTGACATCTTTGAGAAATATTAGAAAATTAAGGATCAGATCCTGGGGTGCAGTTGAATTACAGAGAATGCAGATCAGGGGTACACCTGCTCAGGGCTGCTCTAACTTAACCCGGCTGCAGGCTGAATACTTGCTCCAACAAGTCGAAATTGCAGCAAGGGATTGGTGTGATACAAGATCTGTGCGCCACTGGATGATCACCTGCATAGGAGGCTGATCTTCCCCAAGTCAGATTCCACCAGCAGTGCAATTCCAAGGGCAGTACCATACTTGAGAGCTTTGTCCTAACATCTGCAGGGTTAGCATTCAGGTTCCTTAAAAATGACAAGCATCCATTGGGATAAATAATACAGTGAAAAGATAAACTGAAATTTTTATATTTTCTTTGCACGTAGCGGGAAAGATAGTCTTAAGCAGGCTGAGGAGCCAATCCTACAAAACTTTATTCATGTGGCTACTCCATGTTCACACAGTTAGTTCCTTAGGGCCTGATCCAGCTCAAATGAAGTCAGTGGGAGTTTTGTCATTGACTTAAATGGGATAGGAATGGGCCCATCGATTTCATAAGGGTAAGGATTGCAGGATCAACTCCTAATATCAGACTATGTCCTGAAATTTATTTTTATGCCAAACCACCACTGGCTTCAAAAGATGTTATACAAAAGGACTGATAGAAGGATTTGTCTCTAATCTGGAAACAAATTATTTAATTAAAACAAAAACTGACACCTTATTATCACAGATAAATCATATTTGAAAAACTGCATTCAACTGAAGGTAATGATAGTGACCCATGTACATCCATGGGCAGAGTAAGGCTCAAAAATAAGGTAAAAATTATTACTCAGAGTAAAAGGCAACAGAGGGTCCTGTGGCACCTTTAAGACTAACAGAAGTATTGAGAGCATAAGCTTTCGTGGGTAAGAACCTCACTTCTTCAGATGATACTCAGAGTAAGTATTTTACTCAGTAATTCCTTAAAATACGTGTAATGATTATATTTAAAAATGTGAAAATTATCTCTACATTAGCTAATTCAAAAAGTCTGAATACTGTTATAGTCATTCACAATTTTATTGATTCTCTACTTTAGAATCAGAAGAAAACACAAGGAAAAAGTATGAATATTTGTATAAACTCTCTCTCTATATATATATATATACATATACACATACATACACACACATAATCTGTTCAACAAATAAAAAATATCCACAGTTTGTGTATTCATGGTGGGATTTTAAAAAGCACCAAGCCACTTCAGATCAAAAGTACCATTGAAAGTCAGAAAAGTACTCCTCATGAAATTAGTGGCCCATTTAAGTCCATGGCAAAACTCTCACTGATTTCATTCAAGCAGGATCAGGCCCAAAAGAATTGTGTAAGCACAGCATATCTGCATGAACGAGATGTGTGCAAAGGAAATATTAGAATCATTTCTTACTTCCACTTTTTCACTGTAATATTGGATTATTTGTTCTAATGGACACTTATCATTTTTAAAGAACCTGAATGTTAAACCTGCAGATGTTAGCAAACAGATTCTGCACTTCAGTATAGCCATTGGAATTGTACTGTCAGTGGAATCTGACACAGTGTGGATGAGCCCAGGGTATGGGTGATTCTCCAGTGGGATTGAGCTAGTGGAGGGGCTTCTAAGATAACACCACAGTCAAGGGGATTTGTACCTCTTTGAGGCTTTTGAAAATCTAGTAATATTTATGCCTGATCCTTTTTTCAGAGTAACAGCCGTGTTAGTCTGTATCCACAAAAAGAAGAACAGGAGTACTTGTGGCACCTTAGAGACTAACAAATTTATTAGAGCATAAGCTTTCGTGGACTACAGCCCACTTCTTCGGATGCCTGATCCTGCAACCCTCACTCGATCAAAGTTTAAAGTTCTAGTGACATGATCAGATTGCAGGATTGGGCTCAGATTTTGATGCGACTCTGCTCTCTTTTTGCCATTGACTTCAGCTAGAGTACAATAAGGCCTGTTTTTATAAGACAAACTATGGTCAGACAACATTTATGAAAAAGCAAAACATAAGGTTGTATAAATATAAAATATCTGAATGACGAACCATGACAGGCATTAAGATCAGTGACAACTAAGCTGTTATAAAAGTAGTTTTTATAATGAGACAATAATTTCATCATCTAAGGCAATAAATGGTTGTGTTTTGTCCAAAATAGTCAATATTTGTCATCTTCAGAGTTGAGATATACAAGCTGCTTTGTGACAGTTTTGTTTTTTTCCCAAAGTTGCTTACAAAATTCTACTGCCAGTCTTAGTTGATGTGGAAGATGCCTGAAGCTGAAATTTAATTTAAAAAGCTTATGCATTACAAAAACCACACTTACCACCCAATAATAGATGAAGAATTGTGTCTAGACTTGAAGGAGGACAGGAAATTCTGCCATGGGAATGTACCCCCAGCTTTTGGGGAATAACTGCTGATGTGTTGGTTTACCAGCTGCTACAAAGTAACTTTATTATTGCTTTTCACAAATTTGCAGATAAGATTAGGTTGGGTTTTGGTTTTGGGGGGTTGATTTTTTTTGTTTTATTTTGTGTTAATTCTCTAATGGAAGCAGTTAAGATTTTATCTAATGACTCTTTTGGAGTCTTAACATTTCTAGCTATCCATAGAAAAGTGTCTATTGAAAAAAAAAGTTAATGGTTTTAGGCTAAGACTTTGTATACTAAGTTCCAGTACTTTTAATAATCAGTTTATAAATCTGTGAAAACAGCACTTGAAAACAGAAATCATGCTGACAAATTTCTAGGGTGGCCAGTGCCTGTCCGAATGATTATTATAGGTGTGACCTTCACCGTAACTCTGGGAATGCAGAACAAGTAGTATAATCATTTGATACAAATATGCTTTCTGGTTTCAAAAGACGTCTTCTTCATTTAAGTGCTGGATTTACTTTTTAACTTGAAAGTAGGTTCGCTTAGACTGATGTGTTCCTGCAATTCTCTCTTCCTTGTTTGTTGTCATCCTTTGATATGTTATGACTTATTTGGACCCCAGTTTTAAAACACTTGTGTACATGAGTTTATTCCCCTGAATATTCCCATCGAACTCAGCACAGCTACTTGAGTAAGAGAATCACATGCATATGTACAGGACCGGGCTAGCTAAACTGCTCTTCTGGGCACTGACCATCAGCTTTTGATTTGTTCTGTAAACAAATCTTTGGCTGCACAAACAGCATTTATTTCTGGATAACTAAGTAAAATGGCAGAATTCCGTCAGCCAGAGATGGCACCTGTATCCACCTCTGCAAAGTGCTTTGGGGGGCTGGGATTAGAGGTGCTAGCGAAGGACACGGTATAATAAAATCACAACAGCGATCAATAATAAATGACACCGGTTCCTGGAGAAGTTGACCCCCTTTAGGAAATGGGCAGCAGCGCAGCCCCGTGCAGGGGTCTGGGCTGCCCCTAGCCCGGCTTTGGAGACCAGAGCAGCCCCTGTCACACACCAGAAAGAGAAGAGCCCCGCTTGGCCGCCCCGTGCTCACCACATTTCTGCAGCCCGTTGGTGTCGCTGGGTTTTGCAGCCGGCCGGCTGCTGTCCTGGGTCTGGGTCTGGGCGCTGCTGGAACAGCCCATCGCGCCTCGTGCCCAGCGCCTGGCGAGGCAAACGGGCGTCCCCCTCGCGGCGGGTCCCACGGAGCGCAGAGGTGCCGTCAGAGGATCCCCCAGCCGCAGCCGCGGCGTCCGAGCCCTGTCCCGGTCCCTCCGCGCAGCCCGCGTGTTTACAGCTCGCGCTCCGTTGCCATATGAACAGCGCAACCAGCCGCCGCTTCGTTTTCCCAGCGCAAGGGCTCGCAGGTGTGCAGAGCGCAGGCGCAGGGGGCGCCGGCTTGGAAATAGGAGGTACGTGGAGAGAGACACTAGTGTTCCCGCCTCCTTGGTCATCTCCGGGCAGGGGCTGGAACGAGGAGTGCTGCTGCACCCCTGGCTTGGTTCAGTGGCTCTTAGCGCACCCCCACTATACACATTCTTCCGGGACCAGCACCCTTCTCCCACCTCTGTTGTTGAACTACCCAGCGAGCGAACAAGCGCATCTCTGATAGCAACAGGAAGGCAGGAGCTGGCACCCCCAGGAAAGCAAAGCCCGTCTGGGACCCAGCTGCCCCCCCCCCCACACACACACACACACTTCCTAGGGCGCTCACAATGGTTGCAGCGTTAAACATAAAATAGCAACAGATCCAAGAGCTAGAGCCAGAGTCCAACAGATCCAAGAGCTAGAGTCTGGAAACCAGCCCCACCAACACTGGGCTAGAGCAGGGGGGAAACTACAAGGCTTCTAGTTTCATTATCCGAGTGGTGGGGAATGCAGAAAGTCAAACTTGCACAGAGCCAGAATGTGAAGAGTAAAGGTTTTTTAATTGTTTCAGGTTTAATGATCTGATAAGGCCTCTAAGCAGCATTTAAATACAAATAAAATGATGCACAAAATTTAATTTGGCTTTTGCAAATTTTTCATTAAAATCTTTGCCAAAAATAGAGCAACAGTAAGATGGTGTGAAATCTTGATTTAAGACAATTTATTCAAGTCTTTTCATTTACCTTGTACAGTTTTCATTATACTACATGTGTATATATTTTACAATATACCCATAGAAGGCTGAGCCTGCAAACTGTCCACTCACAGCAGTAGTCTTTACTCACCCAAATACTCCTATTCAAATCCCTTTTTGGAGGACTGTGTATGTAGTCCAGGAGCGCCGCCAGCGTTTCTGCTGCCGTAGGTGGCGGAAGGTCCCGCCCGAAATGCCACCCCCCACAGAGGCGGCGGAAGGTCCCGCCTCCAAAATACCGCTGCGATCACCGCCCCCCAAATTGTAGCGCCCTAGGCGACCGCCTAGGTCGCCTAATGGGTTGCGCTGGCCCTGATGTAGTCTCATACAAAGTGCATCCCAAATCACTTTACTTTTAAATTTATATACTGTATAATCATTGACAGAGGGTCAGGGAGACAAGATATGCTTTACAATGAGGTGGAAAAGAGCTGGAGAGTAGATTAACTAGACAGAGAGAAATTTTGTTCCAGTTGGTTGAAGCTACAGATTACCACAGTGATGAGTGCCATATAATACTCCAGAAGGAATTATGTGCCAAAAAAATAAAAATTCTGTGCACAATATTTTAAAATTTTGTCAAAATAACACTATACAATCAGACCAGTTTCAATTATTTTGGTAATTTATTTCAAAATACCTGTCAGCAAGTATGTCTGTAACAATACAGACACACACAAAAATTCCCCCAGGAGTAGAGAGTTAAAGAAATTCCTATGACAACCCAGTTCCTGCTTCTTTGCCCCTTCTCCCCAGAGCCCAGCCGGGGAGCCAGACACTCACACCCTTTCCCCCCAGAGCCCAGCCACCGCCCCCCCTCTCCCAGCCCAGAAACTCACACACACACCGGACCCCAGCTGTGGGCCCCCCTGGCCCAGACACTCACACCCTCTACCCCCCAGAGGACAGTGCAGGCCCTCGGCCCAGACACTCACAGACCCTACCCTCCTAGAGCCCAGGGATCCAGGGGGAGAAACAGACTGATGCTGGGTCCTGGGCTTACATGGAGTTTCCTGTGCGCAGCTGCCACCTCCTTCCTTCAGTGTGCACTGGGAATTGTAGCTGCTGGAAACCCTCCAGTTCCCTCCTCCTCCCCGGCCTTGCCTTCATTTGCAACCTGGGCTCTGCCGGGTCCAGCAGCCCCTCGTGGTGGCCAAAGCTCTGCAGTCCATTTCTGGGGGGAAGGGGAAAGGGGGAAGAAATTCTGCAAAATTCTGCATTGCACAGTGGCGCAGATTTCTCCCAGGAGTAATATAAGAACCTACACTGATGGACAGAGTAGTAGCCTCTTGAACCAAGGGTGGCAAAATTGTATGACAGAATAATGAGGCAGCCATTGTTAGGGGAGAGGACAAAGAGGCAAAATTACAAAAGAGGACAAGGTCCAGAGTCAATGGAGGGCTTCTCACCCTTTTTCTCACATCTTCTTCATGAAGTAGGGAAGCAAGATTCCCTTGATGCTGAGGCAGCCAGAACACCACTAGGAGTGCTTAGGGGAACTCATACCAGAGTGATCATCGCTACACTCTTTGAGTAAATGCAGCAAAAACTCCCCTCTTATGTGGGCTATATGGAGTTTCTTCTACAGCACCGTTCACCTGAATGCCCAGCTGTGACAGCTCAGAGGAAAGTGGGTTGGAGAGTAGGGCTCCACATTTTCCCTAACCAACCCATTCTCTTTGCATAGGCTAGAGGTTCTTTTGTTCCAGGTTCACAAAAATTAAGACTATGGCTGCCCTAGGTGTGGACATGCAAAGGGAAAAAGTTGCATACACCCCTTCACCCTAACTAGAACCTGGGCCTAAATCTGTAAACATAAGTGTTAAATTCTGCTCACATTTATGTGTGTATGCAACTTCATTGATGTAAAAGGAAGGTGGTTTGGCCTAGAGACAATATTTACAGCAGGATTTTTCCTTCCAATGTGAAATACGTATTTATAATCTATAATGACAACTGGATTATCGTAAGTGTCTTGAATACATAAGATGTAATGTAACACATCAACCTAAACATTTTTACTTCCTCCTGTTCTGTAGCTCATATTCATTTTTACATCCTTTTTTTTAAAATAATACATATACTTATAGTAGATTTCTTTGTGACTGTTTCCTAAGCCTGTTAATATTAGGTAGTGGGCAATGTAATGTTAGTAATTCTTTAACAAGCTGAAGCAATATTAATGTTTGTAGTATGCTGTTGTGTAGACATGAAGTATCCAAGGAACTAACTAAAGCACAGGAGCTTGTGCAAACACAATTGTTTTACAGAGAAAGAGGGGAGGAAAAGCACTTTCATTTTATCCCAAAGTGTAAGTCAGGAAATGAAAGCAATGAAAGAGAAAGGTGGGGAGAGCCAGGAGGTGTCAAACAGGAAGCATGAGCAACTGAAGAGGCAGTTTAGGCCCTAGACCAAGCAGGGGAGGCTGAACTCACCTAACTTAAACAAATAAAAATGAAGATAAGGGGTGCAGAGAGAAGGGGAGGAGAGAAAGGACAACTGAGGAGAAGGATAAGTTGTTTGGAGTTAAAAATTGATAATGAACTATTAGTGCCTTATGGAAAAACTTAAATCATTTCATTTAGTAAAATGCCATCTGACAGTAAAATACATGGTCTGAAGTTTTCATAGCCATTATTTCTAAAGGCATTTACATGGAAACAGATCTTTGCTTCCTTAGACGCCTATCCTGCTAGTATCTGATGATGTAGTAGATGCTTGTGGGGCAACTGACAGGACTGGGGCCAAAGAGTTCACTGGCTCCAACTGATGCTTCCTTACTTGAGGTCACAATCCGCTGGTTGTGACATTAATTACATTCACAGCAAAAAAGAAATACAGGATTAGGACTTCAAATGGGCAATAAGCAGCATGAACAGAATTCTTAAGAAGCAAAGACTGATAGTTTATGTGTACCTTTTTCCCAATAATAAAGTAATTATATATAGAATATTATATAAGTGGAAGGGCTAGTCCATAAACAACTTTTTAAAGTTTTCTATAAGGTGTTAGCAATTTTTTAAGCTTCTTAGGCCAGAACTACAGGACCTAACTTGTTTCACTCTTCCTGGAGCTCAGTAGCTAATTGTAATTTTGAACTTTTTAAGGCAGTGAGCCTGTTGCAACTTTAGACTTCCTACATTTTGATCCCCTATCCAAGTATTGTCCAAACTCCCAGGACTCACTAGTCTTTCAAATAAGTCTATGGAAGTAGAGCGATCTTTTCCTCAAGCCACAACTCCTTTTCCTAGATCCTTAGGCTATTCTGTACAGAAAGAACAGGATTGCATAGGCTGGACAGCAAATTGTTTGAGAGAAAGTGCAGGCCAGATCCTCAATTGGGTGTAGCTCCACTGAAATTAATTGGGTGATGCTGATTTATATCATCTGAGGATCTGGCTCCATGAAATCCAACTTTTTTAGGTTGCCTGGGACAGCAAAACCTACAAGCATGGTTGACAGAACATGCTTCTTCATTGTCAAGGAAGGAATCTGAAGAGCTTTTCACTAAGTCTAACTACAATTTTTAGAACCCTGTAGATGTACACATTTCCTGATAGAATTTGGCACTAGGATAATGTAGATATATTTTTTTGGTTGGAGAGCTTTTAACAACACTTTAAACTTGGCATTTATGTAGTACTCAATAAGAAAAGCCTCCAATACTGTATGCTACTTTCCTTGCCAATTTAAACTTAGCTGCATTTAGTGTGCATATATCCAAATATCCACAAATAGGTATTTAGCTTTATGATTTTCCCTGTATCCTGGCCATTTCCTCTTTTTCTTTTTTTAAATCTTTGTAATCATTGGATGGATGACAGACAAGAAATGTGAATGCTAATTCAGCAAATACGTACATTAGTAGGGTTCCAGACTCTAATGTTCTGAAACAATGAGATATATTTGTTTGCCTGACAATAAAGGGATAGCATAGTACATGACCCGATGAAAATTGGATGAACATGTTTGCATTTGCTTTAAATGTGATCATTATCAGAAAACACAGCCTGTCACTTTTAATACTCTTAACAAGTGCAAAAGGGAAAGTAATGAATGCAGGTGCCCACATGGAATTCTTATGTAATTGTCTATTAATTCTGGAGGGGAAATATTCAAAAACATTAACCTCATTCTTCTTGCGTATTTTTCCTTTATCAAAATAAGTCCAACACCTTTTACAAGATGCTCTAAAAATTAGGCTGGTCACACTGATAAAATAAAGATCATGGACCATATTTTTAAAAGAGCAGTTTCCATTTCTGAATGCATAATCCTAGCATTTGGGGCTAATTATAACTTCAGGCATAGCCCTGAGCAAGGAGTAATATATAGGGTTACCATACCTAATAAATAAAAAAAGAGGACCCTCCATGGGGTCCTGGCCCTGCCCATTTCCCACCCCCAGCCCTGCCCCAACTCCCCCCCTTCCCCGCCCCAACTCCGCCCCCTCCTCCCTCCCACTCCCAGCCACGCGGAAAGGGCTGC